TCAACATCTTTTCAAACAAGTCAATTTAACATACAGATATATTTGGCATGGTGTAAAAATGACATGTACTAGCTTAATCAGAAAAGAAAAAAAAAGTAGAAAAGCACCCAACTTCTTCGATAAGGACTGGCTACAAAATGTATAGAACAATCATGATAAAACTCTGCAACTAGGGTCCAGGAGGTGGCATGGTGGTTAAAGTGCTGGATTTCTACCTGGCCGACAGCAGTTTGAGTCCTGAACCCAGCAGCTTGAAAATCACAACAAATAAATAGATAAATAAATAAATAAATAAATGTAAAAAATAAGTAAATAAAAAAAAAATCCTGCAGTTTTAATAAAAAGGCTGGAAGTTATGGATGAAATGATCTCTAAAATACATTGTTTATAAAGCAAAGTGCAAAAAGAGTTTATGTAGTAAGCCCCCTTTTGTGTATAAGATTGGGGATTTAGAATGATGTATTCTGCCTTCTGTGCAAAAAGAAACACTGGGGGAAAAATTAGTGACAGTGGTTATCTGTGGTGGAAGTTGAAAAAACTAGGTGGATGGGGAACAGGTAGAGGGAGAGCCTATTACAGGCATTTTAGTGAATTCAGTGATTTATTTTAACCATGGAAATGTACTTTCTATTAAAAAATAAAATGTTAAAGTGCAAATAAGTACAAATTTTGCTATGTGCCAGAATGAAAAGACCCACAGGACGCTGAGAGCATAGAACGGAGATTCTGAACTTTCTCCCTGAAGAAGTTGCACTTGAGCTTGGATCCTCAGCCACAGGAGTAACTATTGGGCTATCGGAAAAGTTATACTGCATTTTTTTTCTGGTTTTCTTTCTTTTTTTTTTAATAATTACTTATTTCTACTTAGTCATTAATTTATTTTAATTTGACCAGAGGCAGACACAGAGAGAGAGAGAGAGAAGGAAAGTGAGAAAGCAAGCCACCCAGTGCAGGCCTCGAACCATGGTTGGCCATGTGGGAGTGCCCAGCGCCTTAATCATCATGCCACCTGCTGGCCTCCCATTTTTTTCTGTTTTTCTATGCAGCAAAGTGTTGTGCCTTTTCAGACAACCTAATAATTAGGCAAAGATGGTGGGAAGATGTCCCAGGTCTATGGGCAGTCAGGCCAGTTGCACCCTGAGGGGACTAAATGTATGCTACTTTGTGGCTGAGAGACGACACCACAGGTCACACCCCCACCCCCACTGCCCGACCTGACCCGGGCCTGGGGCTAACTCCATGGAGACTATTGTCTGGCCCTTCCTCCTAGCAGTCTTGGAGTCCTGAGACACAAGGTCAGTGAAAATGGTCACCTCCCTTCACACCCGTGTACACACACACACACACACACACACACACACACCTCTCCTTCCTCCAGATCCAGAGAAAAGTAAGACCGAGTGCTAGCCGTCTCTGTGTCCGTCTCAGGACACAGGCCTACGTGTGCCCCCGTGGAGCCTGCCTCCACTTCCTGAAGCCCAGGCACTCCTAGAACCTTATTCAGAGAAAGAGGAAGGGAAGAAGGGAACAAGAAGCTCCTCCATCCATCACATGGTCACCTGGTACAGGGTCTTGCTGGGGCTGGAGTGGGCGGACTTGGAGAGGATGAGCAAGCAGCCTTTGCAGCCAGCAGCACAGCAGAGGAGCTGAACTGGAGCTGCAATTATCCCCTTTTATCTGTAGGGAGATTCCAGGACCCAGTGGATGCCTGAAACCTTGGATAGCGGCAGCCTCTATTACAGTGTGCTTTTCCTATACATCCTGCCATAATGAAGTTTAGTTTATAAATGATCATTTAGCTAATAATAAAGGAGACCAAGGATAACAATCTACCATATTAAGTTATGTGGATATGGTCTCTCTCTGTCTCTCAAAACATCTTACCGTACCATCTCCCCGAATTTCAGACTGCAGTTGACTGAAACCGTGAGTAAGGAAGGTACTGCAGCGGAGGCTGCTCAGCCCTGCCGCACCTCCTGATCCTTCCTGCCCCTGCTGCCTGTGCAGCTGTGGTCTGACCGTGGGCTTACTCCCAGGACCCAGTGGCAGACCTGAACCGACACTCCAAAGTACTGACGAGAAAACTCCCGGTGGGCCACAGCAAAAACCCACCAGTTTTCTAGTCAGAGCTCAGTCCTGTCTTTCAGAAGCACTTGGCTATGTATCTGAGGGGTTCCTGTTCCAGGGCCCCCCTGCTGTGGAGCTCAGGCCTCCAGGCCCAAGCCTTCACTTGGACCCTGGACCAATCTCCTGGGTCTTCAGACAATAGAGGAAAGCAGTATCCATGAAGGGAGGGGGTCCTGGAAGATAGGGAAACCAGTAAATCACAGATTCTACTCCCTGCCCCCCAAACAGGCCGCTCTTCTCCTTGACGGCTGTATGCACATGCAGAACAAGGCCTCCCAGCCACCCTCCACTCACCTCTCAGGGTGAGGAGACAGGATGACTTGGACTCAAAGATCTCTAAGCTAGAAGGACATTGAGTCCACCTGGCAGACCCCAAGATGATACCGCAACTGCCTAACTGGCTCTCGCCTTCACCACAGTGGCAGCGGTCCCAGCTCACAGCTGGGTCTGGCCCTTGTCCCAAGGAGAGATCCCAGCCCTTTGGGCAGGGGTAGTGGAGAAGGCTGCCAATGGGAAGCCACTGCTAAAGCTCCAAGGAGACTGTAAGGACCCCAGGGAAAAGTCCAAAGTCCATTTGGCTAGAGAGCCATTCCTTGAGGCCTGGAAGCTGAAAATGTGGAGGTGAGTTGTACAGAAGGAAGAGCTTATTTGGAACAAGTTCACCCTTCTTCACCCATCAATGGGAGCTCACTACTCCTATTCACACAGGCCAAGGCGCGAAAGCCAAGGTCCAAATGGGCTGCTTTGCCCTGACATGTCTAGGAAGTTAGCTCACCCTTCATAGCATTGCCTAATGGCCAAAGGCCAGTCCCTCTTCTCTGATGCTCCAAATAGCTGAAGATATGACAACCAGAGCCATAGGCACAGAAAGACAGGTGGAGGAGCCAGAGTGCTGGACTAGGAAGCAGAAGGCAGCGATCCAAGCCCCTGCTGCTGGGCTCCCAGCTCCTGAGACAATCGCCTTCTCTCCCTGAGCCCTGCCATCCCCACGGGGGGTGAGGAGAGTGGGAATAAGCTGCAAGTGCTGGGTATGTGTGGGGATGAAGGAAAAGAGGGAAGACGTTCTGCATTACATCCCTCCAAGCCCAAGGCTGAGCTGATAGTTAATAGCCCTGTTAAAGGAGAGATGGGCCCCAGGCAGCATGGCAAATGTAGCCCGAGGACACCCTATCACATCACCCCACTGGCTCAGACTTACAGCCATATGCAGGGCTAGCACAAACCCCTTACAGACTCAGAGCCACCAAAGTGGTTAGTGAGGCTCGGACAACTAACCGACTGCTAGGCTATGAAGGCCAGATTTTTCTCTCCCACTTCCTCAAGAAGGCCCAGTTTTTCAATCCCCAACTCCCTCCTTTCCTGCTTTTGCAGGTGCCTGGAAGAAGGGAGATGCACCCCTGCAGCAGGAAACCATGGTAACAAGCTGGTGCATCCAAAACCACTCCAGGGACCTGATCTCCAGGTACTTCTGGCCACTGGAAGATGTAGCTTCCTCCAAGCTCTGTCTCAGGCTCTGGTCTGCCCATGGAGTCTGGGCGCGTGAGGAGTCATAGGCAGAGACCATGCCTGTAGACGAGGTTCTCCAGCTCCCACCATAGAAGCTCTCTGGAACCTTTCAAAGCTGGTGCCACAGAGGAAGTCAGGTAGGATTCGACTGGGAACACAGTCCTGGCCAGCATGGTACCCAGGAAGACCTGGGAGTTCCCTCCCCTGTCCGTTAAAAGACCCCAGTGCTCTGGGAGGTTGACTTTCCACCCAGGTCTGCTTGCCCTGCCTGGGAAATCTAGTATAGGGACTTGCAAAACAGAACAGGCAGGAGTTAGTTATGTCAATTAAGTATTCTCCTAGTTGCTTGTTTTTAGATCATCAGTGACTTAGAAGAGAACCAAACAAACTCTGCAAAATTAAAACTAGGAGCTGTTCAGCAGTTACATACCAATGGGTCAGAAATGAAACATATGGAAAACTCTAATTCACAGAATCCTGGTCTACACACAGAAACAGAATGGAGGCATACAGGAGGGACATATCTGTACTTCCACACATTAAGGGTTACGTGTGCGGCAGCCCCGAACACACCCCGGCTCCACCACACCCTTGCCCCGTGCTTCCAGAGTAACCATGGCCAGCCTAGAGAGGTAGGCCTGTGCCCTGGCAGGTAGCATCAGGTCCCCAGGCTTCTGTTTGCCACACACTTGAGCTAAAACTTTCCACATAAAAAGCTCCTTTATGTGGGCCTGCCAGAGCCAGATGGGGAAAGAATGAGCTTCAGCAGCCTGGATAGGGTGTGATCAGCAGCATCCCTAGGGCTTCAGAATCTCCTATGAGAGCCAGATCCCAGGCCAGAGCAGGCAGGACCTCACACTGGAGCCAGGACAAGGCCTTCCCTTCCAGAAGGCAGGCAGCTGTCGGGCCAGGCAGGCGAGACAGGCCAAAGTAGGACTTTAGAATTTGTCCATGACACCTTTTTCTCAAAAGGTATACTTGTCTTGTGTCACACTCCAGCAGGCCAGATTTGGGGGGCTGACGCTGAGAGGTCTGACATCGACACCCAGCATCTACTTAGAGCCTCGTGGCTGCCAGGTGCTTCCTAGATGGTCTCCAATTTAAATCTCATAACCATGAAGAGCATAAATGGTCATCTTCATTTTCTAGACAAGGAAACTAAGGCCCAGGAAGTGGCAGTGGAAGAATGTAAGGCCTAGCCACCGGACTCAGAGGCTTGAGATCCTTCTACAAACTGGCAGGGCAAGGGCTTAAGCCTGGAGTGGGCCCAAGAGTGGGCTCTCCCTAACCCCCTCCCATACCCACCTGTGCCACCCTGACACTGCCCCAGAACACGGCTCCCAGGGTCAGGTAGTGTCCGTTCTTACATGGCCAAAGGGGTCCAGGTGGTTGTTGGTCAGCTTCAGCTTCTGGAAAGAGACCAGCTGCCGCATCCAGTGGGCTCCAGTGGCAGGGGGGGCCGGGGGCACAAAGAGCCTTCCTGG